TATAGAAATTCGGTGAGAATTCTTTCTTGGTAATAATATGCCTATATGTAGAAAATGGATTTAATAGTAATGAAAATATGTGTGTCTCTAATAATAATGTATCTTTGTGTCATATGTATCATATAACCAATATTAAAATTTTCAAAAATCTAGTTGATTCTCCTTATATAGGGTTTTACAATAAGATTGATATGATTTTTCTTCGAAAAAAAAAAATAAAACAAACTAATTGTTAAGGAAATTCAAATGCTTTTTTATTTAATGTGAAGTACAATACAATCGATACAATTAAGTTACGAATATACATACACCATTCAAATTGACTCCACAACTTCATTTGCAAGAACGAATTCGATAAACCCAATTTTCGAGAACTTTTCGCACTAAACCAAATCGTATGTCACGAATAGCACGTTCAATATTGAATTATAAATCTTGAAAAGATCAATTACTTCAAATAGCCCCACAGGAAGTAGTATAATGGTGTTAAATCACAACTTCTTGGAGCCATTCAATGTCACAATTTTTTGAAATTATCGAATCTCCAAACTTTTGTCGCAATAATTCGGTTGTTGCAAGCGCTGTGTGGCACGTAGCTCCGTTTTGTTGGAACCAGATGTTGCCAAGTTCAACTTCTCCAAATTGCGGCCATAAAAAGTTGGTTATCGTCGATCTATACCGCTCTCCATTAACAGTAACAGCCTCATTTTGAAAGAAGTATGGACCGATGATTCCACCAGACCCAAAACGACACCAAACTGCCAATTTAGGTGAATTTAGTGGTTGTTCATGAATAATTTGTGGATTTTCTTCGCACTTACATCGACAGTTTTATTTATTTACCAAAAGAGGAGATATGTACATTCATGCTTAGGAGATATGTACATTACTGCTATTAGGGGGCGGGACCACGCCCACTTTTTAAAAAAATTTGAAACTGCAGATGCACTAATTTGATTCTGCATTCCAAATAACAGTCTTGATCTTATTGTGGAGCTTAGTTATGACAGTTTATTTGTTTTTGATTAATGGCATTTTGTGGGCGTGGCAGTGGTCCGATCCGCAATACCAACCATCTAACCAATACCAAGAAACATGTGTATCAAGTTTCATAAAGACATCTCAATTTTTACTCACGTCACAGTTTGCACAAACGGACGGACAGACAGTGTGGATTTCAACTCGTCTCTTCATCCTGATCATTTATATATACATAGCCCTATATCTAACTCGATTAGTTTTAGGAGATACAAATAACCGTTAGGTGGACAAAACTAATATACTCTGTAGCAACATGTTGCGAGAATTTTGCAAGTAGTTGAGCTTCTTCCAAGGCAAAATTGACATTAAAATCACCGCTTCAAATCATTGGCATAGTGTGCAAATCTTCTCCTAATTCTGTTGCTATATCTAGCTCGACTAGTTTTTGGTGATACAAACAACAGTTAGGTGCACAAAACTATTATACTCTGTAGCAACAGGTTGCGAGAGTATAAAAATATTGAGAAAGTATTAAAGATGCATTATTAAATGAAATAGTGATTTAATTACAATTAAATTTGGTATCTTCTTGACTTACATAAAAGGCCATAAACTTAGTCTCCGGTTTATTGCTTGAAGTGAGATATACATAAGTATGAAGTGATAATAACTCTACCAAAGTGGCTAAATTTTATATTATAAGCTTATGTGGCAAATGTCTATCAGAGAATCGGAATTCATTATATGAATGTGTGAGGTTTAGACCAAGGTATATACTAATTTCATTCTAATTCAGCGTCAAACCACATAATTTTTACGAAATCTTATCCACTTAATTTCGTTAAAATATCACATTTTTATCTACCTGAACGGTTTAAAGTCAGGTGGAAAGACGGAAATCATATATATATTGGGGAAATAGAAAGATAATAATTTTGACATTGCTCATCTATACTCGAGAACATTTTGAGCAATTTTATATATAAAAAAATATTAATACTCACTGACCGACATATTCGGCATAAAACTGGTTAGAATAACGAAAAGCATTATAAGTAGTATATGGAAGTTGAGGGGAGTATTAACCCGATTTTATCAATTTTTGCCAATTAGTAGTAACTAACATGCCACAGGCTAAAAAATGCTCCCACTGTTTCATTAAGGCACCTTACATACCATCATTAATCATATGGAGTAATGTTAGACAATTGTTCGAAAATCCTGATATTAGTTACATGGGGGCTAGGTAAAATTTTCACCCGATTTCATCCATTTTAGACACAAAGATACCTTGTTATAAGCAAAACACGCTCTCCCATTTTCATTGTGATATAACTCACATACTGGCCGATATACGCGGTATAAAGTCACCCGGAAGTTCAAAAATCTTTATATTATGTATATGAGGGCTATAGGAAGTATTGATCCGATTGAACCCATTTTTGACACAAAAACATACTATTATCAAGAATTTTATTATATGAATTTCAATTATATATCTTATACATTGACCGATATTTTCGGTAAAAATTCAAATATGGGCACTGGGGTCCACATATTCAGTACCTAGGGGCTTGAACAGTTAAGAGAATTTTTGGTCGCAAAGTGGCATACTTTAAACGCATTATTCACGTAAAGTTTTACCCCGGTACAATCATTGTTGCTTGATTTGCATACTGGAAGGTGAAAAAATCAAATAGAATTTAAAATGGTGTTATATGGGAAATAGGCGTGGTTGTAGTCCGATTTCGCCCATTTTCGCACTATAACATAGAAATATAAAAAGAACGTTATGTACCGAATTTTGTTGAAATTGGTTAGGCAGATATCAAAATCTGGGTTTTCACCTAAAAGTGGGCTGTCAATGGGCATTATAAACATTTTTATAGATTAATGATAAAAATATATATATTATATTTATCTATATATTTATATGAAGCTGATCTTTTAACTCTCGGCAATGTCTATATTGGAATTTTAAATTATCTAATTAATTTATTAATTTTATAGTTTATACTACTTATTTTATTTATGTAAACCATTAAAAATTTTAAAAAAATTAAATAGTATACACACTCAAAAATTAAGTATTAATACAAAAAAAAATAAAATAAAATTAGATTAAATTGTCTAATTTTGAACGCGGTTCCTATAAAGTCATCTCATACCATCCCAGAGATAAAATTTAATGTCTCTGGCGTGTATAGTGCTTGATTTATCGCGCTATTAGTAGTTTTTAACAGTACCGTTATTTGTGGAGTGGGCGGAGTTGCCACCTGATTTCACCCATTATAGCATTAGCGGTTTAGGAGATATGCACATTAAACCTATTAGGGGCGGGACTACGCCCACTTTAAAAAAAAATATTTAACTGCATATGCCTCTCCCTATTGTGATCCTGTATATTGTGACCAAAAATTTTCTAAATCGAATCAAAACTGTTCAAGCCCCTAAATACTAAATATATGGACCCCAGTGCCTATAGTTGACCTTCTACCGAAAATATCAGTCAGATTCCACAAAGAAATCGCAAACGAGTATACCATTTGACTTTGCGAGAGTATAAAATGTTCGGTTACATCCGAACTTAGCCCTTCCTTACTTGTTTACAATAGTTTTATACTATGTTCGCACCGAATTGAAATCCTCTTGAAAACACAACTTGTGGATTGTGGAACCAAAGTCGTTCTGACCAACATTGTGTGTTTTCGTTGAGTTTTCATTGAGAGTTCAGACATCTATTTGTTTACATTTGTTATGTACCCTACAAGAACAGTGACGGTCATCTGATGGGTAATATGACAGTCGTAGCTGAAAAAATTTTGTCAGCGCGCAGAACAAAGTTTCTATCATTTTCTTAAGAGCCTTGTTTTCTTTTTGTTTGTTTGTTTTTGTTTTTTCTGAGTCACTGCTGACCATAAATCCGTCATAGCTGAAAATTGTCAGTTATGACTGAAACGCTATCAGAAGTGAAAAGTTCTTTTGCGCAGTAGATAATATAATTTTTATTTCTTTAATAAATTTCAAACTTTTAATAAAAATTAGTTATAATAATATACTTAAATATAAAAAGGAATGCAACAAAAAATATAATAATATATGAAAATATAAAAAAAATGCCATCTCCTCCTCTCAATAGCTCTGCGTACGTCTTTCTCCAATCAGTAGATAGTTCTGAATTTAAAAATGCAAATGTAAATTAAAAGTACTGACATATCAAATGTGAGTGTATTGGTGAACCCATCAGCAGTTTCTTGTAGGGTACGTTTAGGACAATTATGAAATGTAAACAAATTGTCAACTGACATTTAGGGCTGGCAAAATATGTCTTCTAATAATTCCGATTAAACTAGAGCAGGCACCGGTTATAATGAGTGGAATGTAAGTTTCCAAGGGGTTTTCAGCGAATACTGTGTTTTCGTTTGACAGATTTTGTATGGATGAAAACACAAGTTTTTGCGTGAAACCCTTTTTTGTCTATGAAAACACGAATTTTGTGTCGGTGCGAACATAGTATTAGTTACCATATAATATTGGTTACATTTATAAATTTTATGAAGATGCAATTGTTATTAGAAGGATTGAAACTAATTGAAGAACGGATTAAAATGAACCAACGGTTATAAAATATTGGTTTCAGTTTTTAAAGTGAAACTTTTCATTATACGTATATCATCTAAATAATTGTTAAGTATTATGTATGTCGTACTTTAATGCACAAAGTTCAATAAAAATATTAGTTGGAAACATAGTCTGCTTTTATCATTTCCCATTTTCCAAGTATAAAATTAAGATTGACGAAGCGATTTTTAGTTAAATGTCTATAATGTGAAGAAAAAGTTGTACTTTTACCATCGTTTCATAAAACCACACCACCTCTTTTTAATATGTTATAAATACTAGCTTTATGAAATTTTCTTATTTTCTCTTTGGACAATTTAATTTCGTTACGCGACAGGTATTTCAGAAAAATCATAATGCAATATTTAAAAATTTATAATATGTTTTTTATGGTTTAGGTGTCAGTGTTTACCTGATGGACGCGCGACTTGTCGGTCGGTTGCAGGTTTAACTAAAGACCAACTTGAACTTTGCTACAAAGCTAGTGATGTGGCAACAGCAGCTCTCGAAGGTCTAGACATGGCAATACGTGAATGCCAATTACAGGTACAAAAAATTCCTAACATTTAAATAGTTAATTCATTTATGCCAATAATAGTTTCTGTGGCATCGTTGGAATTGTTCATCACTTAGCACAAAAATACGTAATCCACATGTATCAAATCTTCTTAAAAAAGGTAAATAATAATTTTCCTACTATTCAATAATGTATTTAATTCGCATAAATGCAATGTATGTTAAGGTTCACAATACAAAATATACCTGAGCTTTTGTGTACATAAGTATGTATAATCTAAAAAAATTATTGAGTTAATTTTAATACACATTTGAATGTCTAAACTCTTACATAAATCCTCATTACGATCATAGATTTATAATGAAACTTTTATAATTTTGCAACATGTTAAACAGTTGCCTGTCTTTTGAAGTGAAACTTCTTTGCGCTCGTTGGGTTGTAATTCCAGTATCGAATGAAATGAAAAAGCAGAGAATGTTAATGAATAATGAATAACTTTCATTAACATTCTCTGGTGTGGCAATGATTGTTCTCTACATCACTCCGAACCAGACCATTAACGATATAATAAAATGCAAACAAAGAGCATTATTGACATATACTCCCTCTAGTGCAACAGAATTAAGAGAAGATTTGCACACTATGCCAATGATTTGAAGCGGTGATTTTAATGTCAATTTTGCCTGGAAGAAGCTCAACTACTTGCAAAATTCTCGCAACATGCTGCTACAGAGTATATTAGTTTTGTCCACCTAACTAACTAATATAAATGATCAAGATGAAGAAACGAGTTGAAATCCGGGTGACTGTCTGTTCGTCCGCCCGTCTGGGAAAGCTTTAACTTGAGTAAAAATTGAGGTATCTTTAGGAAACTTGGCACACATGTTTCTAGGTATCGTAAGATGGTTGGTATTGCAGAAGGGCGTAATCGGACTACTGCCACGCCTACAAAACGCCATTAATAAAAAACTATTAAATTGCCATAACTAAGCTCCAAGATACAAGACTGTTTCTTTGTACACATGATCACATTAGAGAGGGGTATGTGCGGTTTTTGTAAGTGGGCGGGGTCCCGCCCCCTGATGGGTTTAATGTTCATATCTCCTAAGCCGCTAAAGATATAATAACAAAATTCACTGAGAACAAATGCTTTTAGCACCTCTGTTGACATTGTGAAAATGGCTGAAATCGGATGGCAACCCCGGCCACTTCCCATATAACGGTACTGTTAAAGACTACAAAAAGCGCGATAAATCAAGCACTAAGCACTCCAGAGACATTAAATTTTATCTCTGGTATGGTAAAAGATGACTTTATAGGAACCACGTTCAAAATTAGACAGTGGGCGTGACACCGCCCACTTTTAGGTGAAACCCCATATCTTGGGATCTGCTTAACCTATTTTAACAAAATTCGGTACATAACATTATTTTCATAATTCCTTATTATATTGTGAAAATTGGTGAAATCGGACTACAACCACGCCTATTTTCCATATTACACCATTTTAAATTCCATCTGATTCTCTCACTTTCAACTACGCAACTCAAGCAACATTGATTTTATCTTGGTAAAACTTTGCTTGAATAATGCATTTAAAGTTAGCCACCTTATGACCGAAATTGTCTAAATCGAACCAAAACTGCCAAAACAAGCGCCTAAGTACTGAATACGTGGACCCCAGTGCCTATAGTTGATCTTTTACCGATAATATCGGTCAATCTGTCAGATATATAATTGAAATTCATATAATAAAATAAATAAATGAAACTTTCGATTATAGTATGTTTTTGTGTCAAAAGTGGTTTGAATCGGATCAATACTTCCTTTACTATAAAATTTTGTCAGCACCTAAAGTACTTTCCCGGGCTTTGATCCTTGCAAGTTGCGAGAGCACAAACTGTTCGGTTACACGCGAACTTAGAACTTCTTTACTTGTTAGAAAGTAAGTTTAAGGCGAAAACATCAAGTATCTTTTTTCATTAATTAAGAATGAATAGTGGCTTCTGTTATCGGGGAAATATTTCTATCTAATAACACTTGCTGGCTAGGGCGAGTATTTTCATTTTAAGTGCCCATCGAGATCCATGTGGTTTCACTTTTTTCGCTTAGCTTTCTAGGCTGATGGGTTTTTTGTCCGTCCGGTTGCCTGTGTATCGGTATCGGTCAGTATGCGAGATACGCTTCAGTCAACAGCAAATATTTTAGATATTAAGCAAGGTATCCTCAAAAACTAGTTACTCATGCTATAAACCAGAAAAGTTATTTTTGTATTTATCGGTTCACCGTTTCTAATAGTGAATTTTGATAAATTACATGATAAATTAAAAGATATATACTTGTACATTTATGTATAATATACTAGCTTTTGTCTATATAAATTTTGCATATTGCTTTGAAAATTACATGTAGCAATATAAACTCAAAGCAAAGGCAATTCTGACATTTCTTATTTAAATTATCAAATACATTTGTAAAGTAAATAAAATTTAAAAAAGTATTGTTCCTTGCTTATGATAATTCTAATGGAACTCGAAGAAATTAATTAATTTAAAGATTTATTATTAACTAAGTACTTTAGTCAAGTGATTGCATACTATTTCGCTGCTTGCATTCGTTATTCATATAACGGGTGATCCAAGTAGAGGTACTTTTTCAATGGCCTTTTTTTGACAGATCACGTGTCGTGTTAAGCTGTCATATTATTTTAGTTCAGTATTGTTTGGCATTTCATCATGGAAAGACTTACGTCTGAACAACGTTTACAAATCATTCAACTTTATTACGAAAATTTACGGTCTGTAAAGAACGCGCACTTCACTCAACTTATGGTCAACATAATCGGTCTACTGAGCATATTATTCGCAACACCATCACCCACCTTGAGACCCAGCAGTAATTATGGGATAATACAAGTATTCGACCAAATAGGACACGGCCAGCACGCACAGAAGAAAATATAGCAGCCGTAACTGTGAGTGTAAGAGAATCGTGGAGAATCGAATCGTAGCAACTCGGACTGACGTATGGAACGACTTGGACCATTCTACGTCAAGATCTTAAATGGAAAGCGTACAAAATACATCTTGTGCAAGAACTAAAGCCGCTCGACCTCCCAAGCGACATCGCTTCACTCTATGGGCTCTTGAAAAGTTCCAAGAAGATCTTTTTTTCAAGATCTTTTCCTTTTCGCGCTAAATTTTGTTCAGCGATAATTCAAGAGCAGCAATTTCATCCAGAAAAAATTAAAACAAAACAACAGTTTGGTGTGGTTTGTGAGCTGGTGGAATCATCGGTCCATATTTTTTTCAAAAATTATGCCGGTGAGAACGTAACCATCAATGGCGACAATTATCCCGATTATTGTCTGAAATTAGAGCTCTTGATTTCGGCGACATCTGGTTCCAACGAGACGGCGCCACTTCCCACCGGTCAATTGGCCACTAAGATTTCTCATATCACACCGTTACGGCCAATCTCACTTCGATTCAGGCCTTGGAGCAAAACATCACGTGTGTCATTCGCCAGTCACTAGTCGAAATGCTCGAACGAGTCATCTAAAACGGGTGTACCAATAGAGACGTAGGCGCAACCAACATTTAAAAGAGGTAATCTTCAAAAAATAAATGCCAAATAATGTTTTTTCGAATAATAATAAACACTTCTCATTAAATTTGAATTTTAACTTCATGTTGAGTTTTAAACGAATCTGCTCAAGATTCTTCTTCTTTCGATAATTATATCTAATATTCGCGCTTATTTAGAGCTGTTCTGTAGCATTAAAGTACCATAAAATTTTCATCAAATCAAATAATTGATCAATAGAAATATTTATGCTACATTTTTAAAAACAGATATGTACAACCTGCTAAAAACATACATACATAAGTATTATTTTAAGTTACTCTCAAATTTTTGTAGTTACCAATATGTGACATTCAAGTTATTCATAATTCGAGTACAATTTTTTCATTCCTTTAGATTACTGCGCCGTATTTATCGCACACACCGTGCTTAATAACATATGAGACATCTTTTATCACTTGGCCTCTTCAAATTTCTTTTTTTATAGATTAGATTATTATAAGCAACTTTTATTTAATTTTCTTAAAATCACTATAATAGTTATGCTTCATTGCGACTACAGCTACAAATGATGTAACTCAGCTGCCTCTATTCAGGCTATAAAACTCGAATTAAATACAGTGGGTCACAATGCGAAGAGGCGTAATATGGTTACATTCTATATTACAATATAAAAGTTAATATTGCATATGGAAAAAATCGGATCATTGCCATTAAAGAAAAAATATTAATGCTATTACTAAGTCCCAAATTAGGCTACAAAACTTCAATTTCGTACGGAGGAATACCAGGAGGGAAATTTATGATTTTTAACATTTTTGAAAAGTGGGCATGGCATCAGACTATATCAACCAAACTTAGTGTTAACATTAAATGTTAGTTCTAAGTTAAAGGAAATACTGCAGCTTTGTATGTGAGTCAAGTCAAAAATTGGATAATAACTGAACTAATTTAAACCACATTATGTAAAAAATATTCCTTGGATATTATCTTAGAAATGGGCTAAATCGAACTACAACTACACTACTTCTCATAAAACACCATTTTAAATTTCATTAGATTCTTTTATTTTAGAATAGAAATAGAAAACACTTAACGACTCATCGAACAAAGCAATAATAAATATTCGTGTCTACTTGTGTGTCCATTTTTCTAACACAAAATTGGTGAAGTCAAAATGCAGAATGTGATATGCTAGTACTATACTAAAATATCGATACTTAAATATTGTGCTGTCCACTTTGTACTCTAAAAAGCCTATTTTCTTTTGAATTATAACGTCCACTGCGTTTACGTTGCGGTTTCGTTTGTAACATTAGAACAGTAAATGTTAAGCACACCAGACAAGACTTTCAATGTGTAATGAGACAGTCTTAATAAGTTAAGACTTTCAGGTATCGGTTGTCCAGTTGCTTGTTATGTTATTGTTGTTTTAATAAGCCCACACAAGAGGAAAGTCAATACATACCCAGTGACGAACGTTGACCAAAATATTGATACCTATGTATGTAATGCCAAAGACAGATATATTGGAGTAAGCTAGAGAAACCATAAGTGTGTAAACCAAAGCTTTAGACTTTTCTGCCAAAATCATATGTTTTCTGTCTCTTTGTGAAAAACCATTAAAAATCAAAAGTAACGAAAAAAATCAGAAACCAAAAATTTCAAAAAAAAATGTTGTTGCAAAGCCTTTTTCTTGAAATCAATCTTTTATATTCCTTGATCCTTTTTAATGGCCGTAGAGATAGCGTAAATATTTCATTATCTTCATCAGGTAATAAAATATTTGAACACTCTTTTCTGTTAAAAACTTAATTTTTCTGTTTTAGTTCATTTTCTTTTAGTTAATTTTAAGTTTTTGCATCAGCTGATGAGTGTAAAATATATGGTGCATGGTTTCCTGAGCTTTTATTGTAGTACACATTGTAGTACGGAAACCATATATCTATATTTAGCATAAGTTTCTGACGAGGGGTGTTTCTTAAAAATAAAATTTATTAACTAATTGCAAATTTTAAATTCGTACAAACTACTTGTATTCAAATGTAAATAGTTTGTACAAATGATCTAACTGTTACGCAATGAGTTCCTAATTCATGTGAAATTTTCTCGACGGGGCATATTTCGCTGTACTTACGGGAATACATGAGAGTATATGTACATGTATCTCTTAATTTTTAATGCACACAGTTTAATCAAATACAGACTTGTAGTACCGCTTAGTCGTAGTTTTCTACAGCGGCGACACCAGTACCGCACACGTGTATAGAATATCCAACAGCTTATAATCGAATCTAATTAAACTAACTTCATATATTGTCCATTTTTCCCTGGTGCATTGGTGAAAGAAAAACATTAGTTAGTAAAAGCAGAAACCGCAAACTCGTTGACAGTTTATGTGATTGAACTTTTAATCCTCTTGCCTCCATTCCGCTGACAGTCGGTATACTTGTACGTAATGCAAGAGTGTTTATATTAATTTATGTATTATGTATATGTATCACTGACACGGGGCATCTAAACTGTTATACCCTCGCAATTTGTTGCACAAATATTAATAGATTTCTTCGCCTAATTAATTAATTTGCAATACCAAAAAATAATCGAGTTATGTACAGGATTACACTTATAATAAGTAAGGAATGCCAAAGTACGGGTCTATCCGAATATTTGCTACTACAATTTTTACGGTTCAACGGAGGTGAAATACTACCTGGTGTTGACAAAACTTTATATAAAACTAGTAACGAAGGGCTAAGTTCGGATGTAACCAAACATAATATCAAAGTCAAAGTATTTTTTTATCGCAAAGTCAAATGGTATACTCCTTTTAGATTTCTTTGTAGATCTTGCCGCCTTGTTTTATGTTGACCGATACTTTCGGTAAAAAGTTAACTATAGGCACTGGGGTCCACATATTCAGTACCTAGGGGCTTGAACAGTTTAGAGTTTTTGGTGACAAGGTGGCATACTTTAAACGCATTATTCACGCAAAGTTTTACCCCGATACAATCATTGTTGCTTGATTTGCATACTGGAAAGTAAAAGAATCAAGTGGAATTTTAAATGGTGTTATATGGGTAATAGGAGTGATTGTAATCCGATTTCGCCCATTTTCGCACTATAACATAGAAATATGAAAATAATGTTATGTACCGAATTGAAATCGATTAAGCGGATCCCATGATATGGGCTTTCACCTAAAAGTGGGCGGTGCCACGCCCACTGACTAATTTTAACGCGGTTCCTATAAAGTCATCTCATACCATCTTAGAGACAATATTTAATGTCTCTGACTTGTTTAGTGCTTGGTTTATCGATCTTTTAGTATTTTTTAACAGTACCGTTATATGGGAAGTGCAGGGGGGGTGTTACCCGGTTTCACCCATTTTCACACTGTGGGTAGAGGTGCTAAAAACATTTGCTTTCAGTGAATTTTGTTATTATAGCTTTAGCAGTTTAGGAGATAAGCACATTAAACCTATTAGGGGTGGGACCACGCCCACTTGAAAAAAAATTTTAACTACACATGCCCCTAATTAATGTGATCCTGTGTACCAAATAACAGTCTTGTGTCTTATTGTGGAGTTTAGCTATGGCAATTTATTTGTATTTGATTAATGGAGTTTTGTGGGCGTGAAAGTTGTCCGATTATGCCCATCTGCAATACCAACCGTCTTGGTACACATGTTTCTTGCTACCGTAGTTTCATAAAGATATCTCAATTTTTACTCAAGTTACAGCTTGCACGGACGGACAGACAGTCACCCGGATTTCAACTCGGGGTTGCGAGAGTATAAAAATGTTACAAAAGATATCAAAATTTATTATTCGATAGAAGTGTGAAAGAATTGCAATCATATTTGGTTATAATATTAATGTATACTATAGATGATATACTCACATAGTTTTATTACTACATTTCAACACATCAGAAATAATATATATATTACATAAATTCAACCAAAGGGGCTTCATTTAATATAGTTTTGTATATATGAGAAAACCATCAACCAGAGGATAAAAATCACTATATTTATTGCTAGAAATTTTATCATTATCATTTTAAATAATTTGTGATATATTATATTTGCATCAAGCATATAAGCTGGGCCACGTCCACTTAAAAAATGTTAACCGCAGATTGCCATCTTTATTGCGATTCTCGTTACCAAATAACAGTTTTGTATTATAATATGTGGCTTAGTTATGGTTAGTTAATTTACTAAGCATTAAGCTTACTTCATTTATTCCTATGACCAGTCAAATATACCTATTATTGCATATACTTACATATACAATCTTACTTTTTCCGCCAATTATCTATACTAAATACATATATTCCCCACCCAAAACCCAAAATCAATTTACTTCTGAAAAAAATACAAAGAACTTAAGTTGATATCTCAGCAAATTAAATTTTTAATTATAAGTTATCAAATAAATTGTTGGTTAGTATTGGAATATAATTTATCGAATTTTCACGCGCACACAATACAATAAGCAAAAAAAATAATGCAGTATTAAAATAAGTACAAGATGGGACACACATATATCTAAACTGCCTTGATTTCCATAAAATGCAACAATTGCCCACTTCAATCTCATGCTGATGCTATATTCCCCGTCAGTACAAATTAAGACCTTTCTGTCACCCGCCGGTGAAGTCACACAACTTGTCAACTGTCACTCAAAGCTACCACGAGAAATGAACGCACAATCACCGCAGTTTGTTATGCTTAAATTTGCATACAAACATACACGCTTGCAAAGTGTACAGAAAAATTACATTACTGTCAAACAACTGTCGCAGTGTGGCTCATCAATCATCAATTCTTCATCTTGGCCCTGAATCAAACAAAGATAATACGATTTCGATAACTTCAGAAAAAATCAATAATATTAAATTGACTGCATTACTATTGAATACTATGACCTGTCCAATATACGTAACTTTTGCTTCGTTAACAGGTTCACAATTTATTTTTGACATATTTTGCTAAAGCAATTCAGGGTTTCCAACTTACTACCAATTGAATGAATTCATTTAAACTATTTCTCAGTATCTAACGCACATAGGGAATAATTTACAAATCATTCAATACTTAACAAAAATACAGCGTTTGATTCAAGTAATGCCAAACCGTTTTAATTTATGTGTAAATTCCTTTGAACCATCTATTGAACTTCAACCAATGTATTTTCTTAAATATTTCTAGGTGGATAATATTAGGATGGATAATCTATTCTCACTCATAGAAGTAGAGTAGTTCAGATTTTAGTGCAGAAGCTCTGTTTGCATTTTAATTAACCTCTTCGATAATTGTAATAATATCTTAATATCAAAACAGTCCGGTCAAAATAGCCATTCAAGGTTACATAAATTTACAACAAGCTGAAATTTAGTGAGTATGTCCAGAACATAATTAAAAATAACCTACTTACAGTCCTCATCGTTCCAATAAGTTGGAAAAAAATTACTCGAGGACAAAGGTCAAATTTCGCGTCAATTATCTTAAACGAAAATTGTAAATCAAAAACTTAGTAATAAATAATAAATTAATACTTTTTTCTTAGGAGCCACCGCTTCTGAGATATAATATATAGGTCGTTATAATATTTAGGCATTTCCACTTCAACTATGAAGTCGTGTACTTAGCGATTTCTTTTTAACCTTTGACTATGTTTTTTTGCGCATATCGGAGCGATTAGGATTTTCAGTATGTTATTTTTAATCATGTTTTGAACATATTCACTAGCTTTCAGATTGTAAATTTATGTATTGTAACTTCACTTACAGTTTTATAGTTTTGTAAGTAATATATGTTTTCGCAGTGGTAAAAATAAATATACGTTTTACAAAATAGAAAATGTATGTAACTTTACTCCTTCTTTTTGTCTAATTTGATTTAACAGATTTATAATAACATATTTATATCAAATAGTAAGAGTTAAATAAGTTGGCAATCGTTCAATGAATTACTGTTACTTAACCTTTGTAAACGTAAACGTGTACGCTCATAAGTTTACCATAAACTACATACATATGTACATATGTACAAGGTGGGTTCCAAAGTAAGCCGGACTTTTAAAAAAAAAGCCGCAACAAATTGTTTTATCGGCAAAATCAATTAATTTGATTCAAAATAGTCTCCTTCTGCTTTAATACAGCTTTTTGCACGGTCCAAAAGCATGTCGAACGAGTGTTTTAGCTCGTTGTCCGGTATGGCGCCAGTATGTCGGTGCAAGCCTTTTGAATGGCCTCCACGTCTGCATAACGCTTTTCTTTCATCGGAAAATGCATTTCTCCGAAAAGGTAGAAGTCGCATGGTGCCATATCAGGTGAATACGGGGATTGGTTGATTGTTGAAATGTGATTTATGGTCAAATAATCGGCCACAAGCGTCGATCGATGAGACGGCGCATTATCGTGCAACAAACGCCAACTTCCATATTCGCGATATTCGGGCCAAACACGTCGAATATGGCGCACCAAACGCTTCAAAACTCCAAGGTAGAATACTGCATTAACGTTTTGGCCGGGTGGAACAAATTCTTTGTGGACAATACCCTTGGAATCATAAAAAGAAATCAGATTGTCTTCACTTTTGACTTCTCCAGGCGTGATTTTTTGGGTTTCATGTTCATCGTCATTTATGTCCTCACGACCACTTTGAAAGCGTTGAAACCACTCGTGCACTCTGCTACGGGATAGGCAATCATCGCCATAAACTTGTTTCATCAATTGAAACGTTTCGGTAAAAGTTTTACCAATTTTAAAACAAAATTTAATGTTGGCTCTTTCTTCGAAGCTCATTTTCGCACCGATGACAATAACATACTGACACTTAAAACGCAATAACTGCAATCTCAATAAATGAAATGTCATTAAATTTTTATTGGAAGTCGATAAAGGATAGCAGATTCTAACGCACTAGTCGACATATAGATGGCGCCACTAGAGTTTACTTTGTTACTTTTGTACTGTTTACTTTGGAACGCACCTTGTATGTACCTACACGTAATTGGTATGTGACGGGTGAAGCGTCAGCAATTTGACCATAAAATATTTAAAAGCTTACACGCAACCGTGTGCATCAAAATCTACATTAGCATGTAGTGCAGATCATGACCACTACATGTGTAACTACACAAAAGCATACATAAATATATGCCACCCTCGGTGTCCCTATTGTTACCTACTGTCAAAGTAACAGCCAGCAATCAGCGAGCAAAACCGAATTCTGTTTCTGTACCGTCTCTGCTGTTACTAACTTCTGGTTATTATCTGGTCTCCTTTCGTCGGCAATGTTGTTGACAAAATCTGCTATTGATTGCTTAACATATCGTTAAATCACCATCAATCAAACTACGTCAACTTGTTATCCCCCGACATTCGTAGTCTGTCTTGTGACAACCGGTCGACGATTGAAAGAATTGAACGGATTGAAATAACGTTCCGATACATTGAATCGCGAAGTCCGTCCAACCACATGTCACTACAATCGGGTTGATGTGTATACGTTGAGAAGCGAACAAAAACAAGAAATTGTGAATACGCTGGCCGCTTGTCAATTTCAGCGCTTTGCTCCAACAGTCTATTGTCTGCTTGTCAGTACTAAACGATGGCAATGGACAATCTTGCAGAGTTCACGTCACAACGTATTCAATGTACCGATTCACTGCTGATGTTCCTACTGCTGCAACGTGCATAAATTACACATACAAATGCAGGCATGGCGACTTTCCTCACCTGTCTATCTACACGCATACATATACAAATATGAGCATACATATATATCTTTGGGTAGTATAACCCGCTAGAAGGGCTTATCAGTGAGAAAGTAATGAGTAGAGTTACTACCGGTAACCACTTCTGGCTACTTAACAGATTACCTGGAGTTCACTGGCGATTTAAACCAATTGACAACGTTCACTAGCTTTATGATCGCTTGCGACAAGTTATAATTCATTACCTACCTTGATGTATACCCTTCGTCGCTGATTAAATAAAAACACATTTTGTGTATCATATTATACAATATTCGCCTTAATACCCCAATTTTTTTACAACTAAATACTTGACTTTTCGCAGCGGGCTCGGACCAATCGCTATGCGAAATTGAAAAGTTAATAACAAATCATTTTGTAGTTTTCTTAAACATATATATTTGTTCAAATCTAATTCATTATTAGCTGACTACGATTAGTGAGGCGTTAGACCATAACGAATCGAAAAAAAAGCTATACCAGCTGTTTAAGCAGACTAGCAGTACTTGTGGTGCATCCTCGTATTAAGATGTCCTCTACCGCATGCGATAAATGCTTCTTTTCGTGCAAATAACATTTTAGGAACCAACTATATTCTAGCAGTGTCCTACAAACAATTATGTGTTTTAATATTTTATTTTTATATGTTATTTACATAGCAAAACTTGTAAAAGTAAACTTGGAAACATTCAAAGAAACAATTATACCCAATCCGGGAACCGCATACACAAATAAAATTATGTTAAACTCACATGTAAAAATGTTAGAAAGCAGCCCTTAAAGATTGCACGCTAAGATATGGCGATTATTAGATTAAACATTTAATTTTAATACGTTATAAAATTTGTAATAATACAGAGCTAGGTTTTCTATTTTTTCCATATTTTTTATAATTCCTGAATTGAGAAGGACCCCAAAGTGAATTGTGGTCTCCTTCCTCTCATTTTCAGCCATAAACTACTGAAACACTGGAATACATCACCAAGATAGATTCACTAGTTACTTTTAGGTTAGGAACTCACTACTTTGAAGTCCAGAACTGCTAACGCTGATACAGCAAAAATGCTACGAGCAATATATGTGCATTCACATGTGCATTTCACATTTTAAAAAATCACTTCAATTTATATATACTTATGCACATAAATATGTTCGTATATACAATACACAAAGAATTCACAATATCTTCAAATATCGTTTAATCCTTGCTACAATGTGCACCATTAATTCCCTAGTGGAATTAAATAAGCATGCGTTTCGCTCTTTCGCGGCCACTTTGATTGACAACCTACTGTGACAATGCGACAAGCGGACTCAATAAGATATGCAAAATATTTGGCCCTACAATCTACGTATATAATCGCCAATAAAACAAAGAAATAAAATTGGTATTTCATGTCAATCCCATGTTTGACCGCGACACTTTTTATGGGATATATCGTGAACTGAATATAACTTAAGATAAGATAAGCTATAACGCAATAATTCCGGAAAACAGAAGCAAACCATAAAGCATTAATTAAGAAATAAGTATTTAGGTACATACGTGCAATATATTTTAAGTAATTCTGGTATGCAAATAAATGCTGAAATAAATAACTATGTATAAATTTGTTCCCACAAGGGAGAAAATTCTAATTTCTTGCAAACAACTTTTTGCAAACCCTACGTTAAACTTCTTACTCTAAGGCAAATTGGAAGAATAATAACTCGCGATCCTCGATGGTTGTATGCTTTAAATGTATAATCATGTACATCATAAAATATGACATTTTGGTCAAAACGTTTGAGATTTGAATGAATTTAGTGGATATGGTTTTCAAACAAAATGTAGCTTAGTTATGAATACGAATGAAATTGGTGAAGACCTTGGTCTAAATCTCATATCAGTAATAAAATTATTTCCGTTACGTAGGTTGGCTTTTCCCTCATATAGCCATATATGTATATATGCAATATAAATATCTCGCGTAGGAAAATGTGGAAGAGAAGAATATTGTTAATAATGTTTTGTTGAATGACAAATGGTAGATTAAAAGTAATATTTAAAACTATCATAAAATTGGTGGTAGATACACATACCTAAGCACAAGAAGTTGAATAAAATAGTATAAGTGACTGCTTGCACGATTACTAGGTTGTAGCAGTAGATTTTTGGCCTTTCTATCTAAGGCTTCTTTTTGAGTGGCCACTGACGAAATTTCTTTTTCAAATAATCCCATACGTGTTCAATGGGGCTTTATGGAGGAGCTTGAAGCTGCTT